GCCTTGTGCAGGCATGGTTCCAGACCTTGGGATAATTGCCTCAGTGCGCGACACCATCCATTCCGGAGACCTATGACGGAAGCAGACGATGCACAGTTGGTTTGCCCACCCTAAACCCAAGCCTTATCCCCCGTCACCGCGCAACCGTGCGTTCTGTGCGCGCATTCCATGTCGCCCTTGCGCCGCAGCAATCTCCACAACTTGGATCAAAGACATCTTTGCTCACGCGGCTCAAGCTATGCCGAGTGGTGGACCGACGCATTGGGAGTTGGTGCTCTCTGCTTTGTCATGATCCTATCTAATGTACGAACCTGATTAAGACACCCTGAGCCCATAACCCCAAAATAGTAGGATTCACATAAGGAGCCCTGATGCAGGCCCAAGCAGGTTCCTGCATTATCCTCTCTCTCTGTCTGTCTCTCTCTCTCTCTCTCTCTCTCTCTCTCTCTCTCTCTCTCTCTCTTCATCTCTCTTTCTTTTCATCTGCCTGTCAACTGACCATAGCCTTCCAAGATTCGCAAACATCTACCAAGATGTATACCAATTGAAGCCGCAACAAAAAGAATCATGGTAGTTTCGGGTTTGGAGATGTAAGGGTTTAGGGTTCAGGGTTTACGGTTTCGGGTTTGGAGATGCAAGATTTTTCCTGCCGATCGAGTCTGTGTATGAAGGAACCTTGCACTGCTCCAGCGATCACCAGCCGCTCCCTGTGACGTTTAAATCCGGCTCCAGGATCTAATTTACAAGGGATCTATAGGGTTCCTTAAGGGGATCCAAAGGGTTCCTTATAGGGATCTATGCGGTTTAGGGTTTAGGGTCTACTTGGAGGGGCAGGGGACTTAGTAAGGTTGTAAATTGAGGTAACTCCATTTAGGGTACTTATAACTCTACTTATAATCTACTTACTAAGTCCCCTGCCCCTCCAAGTAGGTTCCTGAGTAGTACCCTTTTTCCCTATTTTGCTTTTGTGATTCCCTGATTAATTAAGGGGCCACTCAGGAACCTAGAATCTAAGCAGTATTTCTATAGGAAGCATACCGATCAGAGCCTATGACTCTCGCACTTGGACATGTCCACCCCCGGAGATAAACCCTAAATCCTGCTTAGGGTGTAGGGTTTAGGGTTTAGGGTCTGCTTTCTCTATAGAGTTCCTTAAGAAGGCAGGTTTCCGGGCCGCAGGTAATCTTAAACTGTCTGGTTCTTAGTAGGGAATGGGGGAACGGATCCCTATAGTCGTGCCTGTATCATCCCCAATATTAGTCCCCTTAACCCATTCCCCCATTCCCTAGTAAGAACCAGACAGAATTTAGGGGCCATAATAACTAGAACAGGGTTTGTGGGCCCATTATACTTAAACTATTAAGAAGGACCCCCGCAAAAAAAAATAGTATCCCAACGGGTCCATATACCCTAATAGTATATACTTCGGGGCCAATGTACTCATATAGGGAGTACTGTAAGGCTTAAGTATAAACTATTTGAGTACATGGACCCTTAGCGTAGAGGTAACAAACTAAGAACAGGGAGGAAAAGAAAGCCCGACACAGCCCCTAAACCCTCAACCCTAAACCCTAAACCCTCAACCCTAAACCCTAAACCTTTTTTTTTAAAGAAAAAGCCTTAAACCCTGATCAGAGCTCGAGGCAGATCTCCGTGGCAGAGCCACTCGCCAAAAATGGGGAGACCTGCCTCAGCCCGCAGGCGGGTTTGGGATTTATGGGGTTTGGGGATTTAGGGGTTAGGGTTTAGGGGTTTAGGGTTTATAGGATTTAGGGTTCGGGGTTTAGGGTTTAGGGTTCGGGGTTCGTATAAGGCTTCTCTGAGGGTTCTTGTAAAGGGGTTCCGTTAAAGGGATCTATAAAAGTTCTCTAAGGGTTCCTCTAAAAGGATTCATGGGGATTCTGTAAGGGTTCGTGGGCTAATATGGGAGATTCCGAATCTTAGGGGTACCTAATTTGGGGGTCCTTATAATGTAATGAGGATCCTACTGTTTCGGGCACTAATTTAGAGGGGTTCGGGGTTAGGGGTTATATAATATATGGGTCAGGGTTTTTGTGGGGTATAGGGTTTAGGCGGTTTAGGGGTTTGGGTTTAGGGTTGAGGGTTCGGGTTTAGGGTTTAGGGTTTAGGGATTAGGGTTTGGTTTGGCATTTAGGGGTTCGGGCTTTAGGGTTCCTTTTGGGGTTTCTATCAGAGTTTTACATTACAGGTCCGTTCCACTGTTAGGGGAATTGAGTTCGAGAGGGTTTGAGTGTTTATAGGGACCAGGATCATTTTTGTTGTTACGGGTTTCATTCACCTCAGGGGCCCAAGTGCTAATACACTACTCGACCCACTGCTACGCAGCTAGACAGCTGCCTAATTAGTCGGTCTTCTGGACTTTGGACAAAAACATTCATGGAACCCCTATAGATCTTATAGATCTCTTATACAAAACCTTTTTCAAGCTGTATAAACCCCATAAAGATATTTGGGGCCCGTTTCCTAAGGGTCCAAAGGATCCAATAATTAGGTATTTAGGTTTCGGAAAGTAGTTATGCAGGTTACCATGTGGGCGAGTAGATGATTCTTAGGTGCTCGGACCCTTAATGCTTTGGACCTACAGGGCCATGGCGCAGGAGTTTCAGACCCGAGGCACCATATCTCCTTAGGTTTTTTTGTTCATGTAAAACCCAAAAGAATATCAAAATCGTGTTTGTATTATGGTTCTAAGGGGGGGTATAGCATGTATTACTTGAGTAAGGAAGGAGAGCACCTTAAGTCATATGGGAGTTTCCGAAAATGGGGGGACCCTGATACAGTACGCTAAACAGTAGGATCCTTATTATAAGGGTCCAAAAAAGGTACACCTAATTTTCGGAAGCCCCCATATCAAGGATGGACCCAAGATTTTGTAGACAACATTCCAACTTCACACAAAGTCCTTATTTGTCACAGCGCTTTTTATAGGAGCTTTATGTTCGAAGTCAGCCTGTGCATGTTGTAAGTGCGGGGTGGTGGAGCCTCTGGGGACCGAATCGTGTTTCATTGCGGAGTCTCGAAACATAGGCCGACATATTATTGACGCAAACCCCTAAACCCCCAAACCCCTAAACCCCCAAAACCCTAAACCCCTCAACCCTAAACCCTAAACCCCTAAAGCCCTAAACCCCTAAACCCGTAAACCCTGAAGCTCTAAAGCGGGCTAACCCCTAAGCCCCTAAACCCTCAACCCTAAACCGACCCAACCGAGCCAGGCATGGGCCTATGTGAAGGACTGTGTCATCGAGGGCCTGCCATTGGAGGACCTGCATCAAGAAACAGAGGATTTTGCCGGTTAAGGGTCAGTTTTGGGTTTAGGGTTTAAGTTTACAATAACCCTAAAATTCCATACAGAAACAGAGGATGTAATAAGTGCAGTTCCATAGACTGAGCTTTCATGAGAACCAAAACCATAAAGAGGATGTAGTAAGTGCAGCTTCCAGTTGGTAAGGTTTCGAAAGCCATAAATGTAGCGTTCATGAGAATCAAGGTACTTGTAACTTTGCTGATAACTGCCCAGGAGCCTTGAAGTACTCTTAAGACATGGTTCTGTGCGGTGTTGACACATGTTTAGGTTTTCCACACGCCCAAATGATCCCTTAGTTAAGGCCACTGAGTTGAAGCTTGGTGCGCAGTTGGGTCCTAAGCCCCTGCAGACTGACGTGTTGTAGATGAATGCAACCGGACTCGAGACGTCAACGTACATCATTTGTAACTTGTAACCCTCATTGTAGGAACCTGATCAAGAAAGCCTGGGCCTAAAACCCCCAAACCCTAAACCCTAAACCCTAAACCCTAAACCCTAAACCCTAAAACCACCCAACATAGCTTAGTACGATTCGTTTAAGGAACCGTTAGGTTTCTTAATCAGGTTCCTACATTATCCGCGGTTGTGAACCTCCAACTAGAGTTTCTGTATGTTTCAGACCCATGGTGATAGTCCTGATAAGGCCATATCATGAGAGTTTCCGAAAATCGGCGACCCTAATATAGTTAGTAGGTTCCTTCAAGTATAAGGATTATACAAAATACGGTATAGTACCCTAACTAGTAGGTTCCTCTAAATATAAGGACTACAAAATACGGTACCCGGTACCCCCCTGTTCGGAGACCCCCCCCCCATATGAGACATCTCAAGCCTTGGGGATCTCCGGGTGTAGCACCCAGGGACCCAGAGTAGAGTTTAGGGTCTAGGGTTTAGGGTAGGCCCTGTTTAGGGTTTAGGGTTTAGGGGTTTAGGGTTTATAGGGCTTAGGCCCTTATTTAATTTTTTAGGGTTCAGGGTCCCTTATAAGCCTCTTTAAACCAAAAAGGGCACCATTTTATTCCCAGGTTACTCTTAGGTGTAGCACCGCCTGTCTATTCAATCTCTTCAGGCACCGATAAAATCTACTTCTTGAGGCTCTTATAGTTGGATGCTAGCGATCTGGCGTTCTCTGCTGGCGTTCTCTTGTCCTTCATGGCTTCGAAGCCCTAAATGCTGTATTTTGCGTTGGTTTGAGTTCCAGGCTTTTGTGGGGCTTGGGCTATCAGGTCTGGAGTTTAGGCTTTAGGGATTGTAGAGTTTCGCGTTAGGGTTCAGATTTCATTGTTTTGGGCACTATGGGTTTAGGGTTAGCGCTTGGGGCTCAACTAAGCCCGAAACCCTAGGCCCTGAAGACATCGCTTACTCCCAGCTCACTGCCATCAACGGCTCCAGGACCAGTCCTGTATGCAAGACCTGAAGCCCAAACCTCTGAACTCTGGGCCCTGAACCCTCAATCCTCAGCCTCGAGGCCCCTCAGCCCAAGTCGTGGACTCAACAGGAGCCGTTACAGTGACCTTTTAGGACGCCTACTCATACTGTTGATTATATAGATCCTGCACTACCTTAAAGACCAGAAGATATGGGAATTATGGTATATTCCTTATTATGGGTCATGCAGGATTTACATCATCAGCCGTAGAAACCCTTAACTTGGCGATGAGCTGCATGGCCCATGCGTGCTACCCCAGCAGCTAACTGGCAGTCCGCTTTGCAGCAGGCAGCCGGCACCCCGACTGCCCAGAAATTTACTAGGTACAAGTACTTAAAGGACCATGGGACTTAGTAAATATAGGTTATAAGTAGGGTTATAAGTCCCCTAAGTGGGGTTATCCTGTTTATAACCGACTTATAACCTTACTTACTAAGTCCCATGAGCCTTCAAGTAGTGTAGGAACCTGATTAAGAAACCCTGGGCGTATAACCCCCAAAAAGTAGGATTCATATAAGGAACCCTAATGAAGGCCCAAGGTTTCATAATCAGGTTCCTACATTAGGCCTTTGATACTTTGTTTGTGTGTCCCTTATCGGCCGCAAGGGGAATTTTTTCAAAGGCCTTAAGGGCCAATCTAGTTGAGTGTAGTATCATGATAAGGAAACACATTAGCTACTCTAGATCCCTGTTATAGTAACAGTTCCTTCACAGGAACCCAGTCAACGAACATCTCGGAAGCCCTGCCCACAGACCGTGAACCCTACACCGTCAATCCTGAACCCGAAGTCTTATATATTTAAACCCTATTAGCTTAAAACCAAAGTCTTTAGACCCTGAGCCCCGTCTACCTATTCCCCTGCCCAGCTCAGATCTCCATGTACTGAGATTTTCACTCAGCCTAAACACTCTAGGGGACACATATACTTTGAAGTGTTGTGCTGTACTTAGATAAGAAACCCGTTGAAGTAGGATATGATACCAAGACTATTCCTAGGGGTTCCGAGTTGATGGTAGAAAAATCGACCACCAAGCCCGATTCAGATTTGCTTTTCCAGAGCTTGTTGATTCCACTGACAGACCCCCCTAAACCCTCAACCGTAGAATAAACCCCAAACCCAGGCCTTGTTGCCTCTGCATGGCTCTCTGGCTCAGCGCCGCCGCAGCATGCCTTGGACACTTGGCGTCCTGTAGGGCTTTTCCAAGATTTCTGAGGTAGTCAAGTGTGCAGCAAGCGCCGGGTTTGGACTTTGGGGCCTAAGGTTCACCTGAAGGGATGTGCGGAATTTCAAGCAGGGTTGCTACTGCTTTAAGATTCACCCGTTTACATGGTACATCATACTATCAAGCCTGTCTCATGCTATGCCTTATAAACTCTCGCTTAGGCAGTCGTACGTCCTACAGCAAACTGCGATTTCCTGATACAGGTTTCGGCGTTTAGGGATCTGGAGTTCAGGGCCTTAGGGGCTGGGGGTTCAAGAATACATGGCAACGGTTTAGGGTTTAGGGTTTATAGGGTTTAGGCTGATCTAAATAACTTTAAACAAACCCCGGAACACCCCTGAGGCCATCGCCCTCCGGGCAGCTGCGGATGCGCAGCAGTGGTGACTTCGGCGGATGGTGAAGGGTTCTGGGCATGTAGGCTTTCTATGGTTGAGAGTGTAGGAGTTTCTAGGGTTAAGTTTCATGAGTCTGCGCAATAAGGCTTTTTGGATTAGGAGGTGTAAGATCTGGATGGAAAAGCATAATGCAAGGTACGCAGGAAAGAACTGCAAAGATAAGAGCCATGGTATGTTTTGTTGCGCTTCTTGAAAAGTGCTTGCATTAAGCAGGCATATATCTTTCCAGGAAGACTTAACGGAACCCTTAAATGAACTCTTGTATAACCTTCGTACTAAACCCTTGAAGGAACACTTCAGGGAGAATTAGCACTTGTTGTCAGATGTGTTGACAAACCCGCGAGCGCCTTACCTATAAGAGGATCATGAGACTTATAGTTCGCATCGGTACTTTGGTAAAGACCCGGAGACTCCAATATCCCTGGATTAAGGAATATACCTTAAATTATTGTAAGATCCCTAATACGATTTAAGGAATCGAATATTCCTGAATTAAGGGATATTGGAGTCTCTGGACAGTAGGGGTATAAGTAAAACAAATGCAAAGCGCCTCGGCGCCGACCCCAAGATCAATCCAGGCGATGGGCGCTGCACCTCTTCCAGGTGCCCTGCTGTTTAGGGTTTTACTATAGGGGCCTTACTAATCACCTAGGGGTTTCTTTCAGGGTTCCTTTGGAAGGGGTCTATAAGGATTACTGTAAGGGGGGTATTATGGGGGTTTGGAAAAGGCGCCTTGGTGACTACCAAGATTATTTTGGGAGTTCTTCGCTGTAACTATAGTATAATGGGCCCCAAAACCCTTTTCTAATTATTAAGGCCGCTGTGTTAGGGTGTGTCGTTTGGGGTTTTGGGTTTGGAATTTGGGGTTTGCGGGTTTGGGTTTGGAGTTTAAGGTTTGCGGGTTAGGGGTTTGGGTTTGGCATTGGGATTTAGGGTTAGGCTTAGGGTTTAGGATGGTTTGTGGGTTTAGGGTTTGGGGCCCCTAAACCCTAGACCCTGAAAGCCCTATATGGAACGTTGAGCCCTGCAGCACGTACCTGTTCGGGTTTCGTTTTATGTGTTCCTCAGACTCTTGGCAGGCAGAAAAGGTCTATCAGCAAGCAAGAACTGTTTCTACCAGGGCCCCTACACCCCCAAACCCTAAACCCCAAACCTTAAAACTGGGGTACAACCCCCCTCTGTAACAATTGGATACTATTCATAATGCAGATGTATTAGGACCTTAATAGTAGCGCCATTATAGACTGTTACTGTATGGATCCCCAAGGGTCCAAAGGACCCAATAATTAGGTATTCGGTTTTAGGATAGTAGTTATGTAGGTTTGGATTTTGGAGGGTGTATGAGTATTGGGTACTTGGACCCTTGGGGGTATACGTGGGCAGTACCCAACTTAAGACCGCTGGGCAGATAAAAATAAGCAAACGATCTCTACCCCGGACACTAAACCGTAAGTAAATCCTTCAAGATCCCTTAATCCTAAACCCTTAACCCCTCAACCCTAAGACCCTAAACCCTAAACCTTAAAACCCCTATCTCTGCCAGGACCCCAGCATTCATGGGGCCCTGGACCTTTCGGAAGCGGTCATGCAGGCCAGGCGCCTTTGAGTTCCTGAAGTGGGGGGTGCAAGGATCGTGGCTCCCGAGTAGTACCCCTTTGCCCTTTTGCCCTTTTGCTTCTGGGCTCCCTCATTAAATCGAAGAGTAGGAAAAAGGATACCCCGATTATAAGGAGTGCTAGAATAAAGAGGTTTGCTTAAGGCAATAGGGATCTTAATAATTGCCTATACTATTTTGTGGGTTCCTTATTAGGGCTATAGTATCATATACCCCAAAAAGCTATTCTAGTTATTAAGGCACCGAAATGTATTATGTGTTCAAGGTACCTTCTTTTGTTGTTTTCTGTCAAGGATTTGCACGCACCCTGGCAGCCTTTTCCTCAGAACATTGCAGGTTTCGGGTGTAGGTTGATATCAGTGATGAGGATGATGATGAGGATGATGACGGCAATGACGATATGCGGGGGGGTGGGGGGGGGGGGGGGGGGGGGGGGGGGGGGGGGGGGGGGGTGGGATTACGGGTAGCATATGCCTCGTCGGTTGTTCTTGGTCATGGTCGTTATCGCAACGTTTACCAATGTCGTCGCCTTTGCACTGTTGTTCATTTCTTGCCACCTGAACTCTAAACCCCTTGCGAGCTGCTCTTGTCGCTACGGAAGCTTAGTCATAACTATTCAGAGGGTCCTAGATACCTGTATGGAGGATAATTACTTGACATACTCAAACCACTCCTAACATAGGACCCCTGCGTTCGATTACAGTATGAAAAACGTACTCAGGACCCTTTGGGTTCCGAGACTCATGCTCTCCCCTTCTTACTGCTGCTATCAACTCACTAATATCACCTTCCAGATGGATTAGGACACATCGTTTGTAGCTCACCTGAGCCTTGAAGTTTTGCCGAAACATTCGCTTGCCCGAAGGCTTGCAGCCTACGCGGCCAGTGGCCTCAGGCAGTTGGAGTGGAGAAGAAGTGTTGCACTAAACCAACCCACTACCCAGAGACTCCATCCACCCCCTTCACTGGTGAATCAACCTTGAATCCAACTGTGAAAGCTTTTGAGTTCAGGGTCCTGGGCGGTTGAAGAAATTATGCCATTGCAGAACCAAACGGCCTGAAAGAGTACTCAGCAGTCGCCATGCATGCCTGAGAACCATTCCTGGACCACCCCTTTAGGCTCCAAACCCGAGTAGAATAGCGCATCGCACTGCGGCGGAAGCTTGATCGACACACCTGAACACGCACTGCACCGTGGCAGTACAGGTTGCAACCCAAACAGGGTTGTGCAGATAGTTGAGTGTGGGACTCGTTGATGCGATGCCTTATCATGGGGACCTTCCCAGCCTTACCGTAACAGCCTAAACTTTAAACTCTATAAACCGTAGACACCCTTAACATCCTAAACCCTTCTACACCTCATTGGCTCCGCAGAAGAGGTGCTGCAGCTCTTCTGGGAAGCAGCTGCATGGGGGCAGCCGAGCCATGGCAAAAGAGCTGCCCCACGACCCTGGACTCCTCGGATGCCCAGTAGTACCCTTATTACCTTTTTGTAGTCCTAGGTTCCTTATAAAGTTACCCAATACCAAAAAGGGAGGCCTTTATTTTCTTAGGTTACTGGGTATCCTAGGCATAGGTAATTATTGAGGGACTGGGGCCCCTATACTAAGCCGCAGCTGAAGCCTCCACGTCAAAAGCTCACCTGGAGGCTTATACCCTACCCCTTGCTTAGGGTACCTAATTTTATGGCTAGGATCTGTAAAAAAGACCCTAAACCCTAAACCCTAAAGTAATTTTATGGTTAGGATCTGTTGTATAGACCCTATGCCCTAAACCCTAAAGTAGAAAAGTGATACCCTAAAAACCGGGGTTGGGTATTTACAGGTACCGCTGAGCCCCAAAGTTCTCCAGCCCTTTTGTGAGAACGGGATTTGTAGGGATTGGGGTTTAGGGTTCTGGAGTACCATACTTGAATAATCTTGAAGGCTGTTTTGTTTGGAAGTGGGGGACCTGGTCCTTAGAGGAATCGTTATGACATGAAGTCTATACTTTTTCCTCCGTGGTTACCTCAGATTCCAGTAAACCCTACCTCCCTGCATGGGAGACACTGAGCTCGAAGCCCTAAACCCTAAACGGTTTAAGGTTTAGGGTTAGGGTTCTCAGGATTACATCCCAAGCCCTTGCAGCCCTTGACAAGAAGAATGTCACTAAATAGCTACGATGACAAGCCATAAACCCTGAAGTGATTGATAACATAACCTTCCTTCGTTGTTGGGTCTCCGCAAACTCAATATTAAGGCTTGATAAGTATACCCTGCAAGACAGTCGGTTGTAGTAGTTTAAGGAGGCGGAACGTGTGCTAAAGAGACTGGAAGAGAACCAGGCCATACAAGCCGCGGAGCTCAACAAGCGAATTGGGCAGTGCTGGGACGCGCAAAAACTTGCGAGACTTGCTGGATCGAAAGCGAGAAGGCGTCACCACCTGAGTGGACAGAGTCCTTGAAGTCTTTGACAGAGAAAAACCAGGTGATTCCGCTGCAGATCATGTTTTGCATCTTCGAGCAGCGGGTCGTGAACAGTTTGGACCAGGTGTTCGGTCATAGGAGGCCAAAAGGGGTTTTAGCCTATGGGGGTTTAGTAAGGATTAGGGTTCCCATAATAGGGTTCATATTAAGGAATTCCTACCCCAAGAATCTTACACCCCCCCCTTTTGGCCTCCCATCAGTCGGGTCCAAGAAAGACGAGAGCCTGCTCCGGACCATCGGTGTCCTGGTGGATCAGCGGCTGGCAGAGTCACCCCAGTACCGCAGAATAGACATAAGCCCTGCGGAACACCCGAAACTTAACCCCCAACCCGAACCCTACCTGGTGGCTCATCCTATTATTTTTTAGGGTGCCTAGTTTTGTGGTTCGGATCTGTCTAGAAAAGTAGATGCCCTAAGAAAGGGGTAGGGCATGGGCCACGAGGCCTAACCATCCTAAAGCCTTCTTGGGGGGATCATGACACTGAGTAAGTAGGGTTATCGGGGTCCCTTTTAAGGGATCCATAGGGGTGCTATAAGGGTTTAGGGTTTAGGGTCTACTTGGGGATTATGAGACTTATAATGATAAGTAGTTTAATTGGGCTTATAACTGTAGGTACCTTACTGATAACCCCAATTACTAAGTCCCATGATCCTGTATTCCAAGGGTAAAAAGGAGGGACCCTTAATCAGGACCCCTAGGTATATACCCATAATATCGCTATGATATTCCCATTATATAGCCCATTATAGGGTAGGGGTCCCCATTAAGGGTCCCTCCTTTTCTCCTTTGATTTATAAGTATGCGGATCCGAGGGAGGCGACTCTTTGCAGGGTCTTTGTTATGATAGCCTACAAGGTTTCTCCTTTTATACGGTTTGGGGGAAGGAGTCACGGGATTTGGTAGTTTCCGGAAAGTAGGGGGACCTTATTTTTTGGGGGGTCCTTGCAATAAGGAGCCTACTTTTTAGGGTGCTATATTAGGGTCCCCTTTTTTTCGGAAACCACCCATGTTACAAACATAGCAACTTGAAAGAGATCCACACTCAAGAGCAGCCACGTAGGTGGGAGCTGGTCTTTTGACGCGTTTTTCAGAACATGAGGGTCGTTTTTAGGGTATGAGCCTCTACTAGGATGCCCAGTAGTACCCTTATTCCCTTTTTGTAGTCCTAGGTTCCTTATAAAGTTACCCAATACCAAAAAGAGAGGCCTTTTTATTCTTAGGTTACTGGGTATCCTAGTCGACCCTCTCAACGAGGTCCCTTTTAAGAGAGCCAGAAAAGTTGGTTTCAGGCGCCGCCTAGTCTAGGAATGTCGAGGCTTCCCTTTGGAGCCTTCCATGCCGCGCTCGCCTCCTTGCGACGGTCGAGGCTTTGGGTTCCGAGGGGGCTTGGACTGCAGGGCCAAGGCTTCAGAGGTTTAAGGTTTAGGGGTTTAGGGTTTGTTTAGGGTATAGGGGTTTAGGGTTTAGGGGTTTAGGGTTTGTTTAGGTGTTTAGGGTTTAGGGTTTATAAGGTTTAGGCGTTATACTAGGGTTTAGGGTATAGGGGTTTAGGGTTTAGGGGTTTAGCTTTTAGGGTTCAGGTTTAGGGGTTTAGGGTGTAGGGTTTTAGGGGTTCTGGGTTTAGGGTTTTTGTAGGCTCATGCTGTTCCTGCTTTTTGTGAGGGTATCTACGAGTTCTCCTTCAACAGATCGTGAACTTTGCAGAACACGTCTTGTTCGAGAATATCAAGTCATCCCACTGCCACAGACAAATTCAATCCCGTCATTTTGTCCGAACTAAATCATGGAGGAACCTGATTCAGAAACCTTGGGCCCTTATCAGGGCTCCTTGTATGAATCCTACTTTTTGGGGGTTATAACCCCGGGTCTTAATCGGGTTCCTACATTAGTATCAGTAAGGCAGATTCACCAGTGTATGTAGTTCATTCGGGCCGAAAGACTTGCAAAACGGTATTTTGGATTGTTTATTTGCATGGGTATAAAGTAGATCCCATAAAGTTGGAAACCGGACTGATGCCAAACAGTGCTGGGATTCCCTCTGCATTACTCTTAAGGATTCAGGCTATTGGGGTTTCCAACTTTTTGGGTTCTACTATTCTACTACATAAAGAAATGCAGGCGAATCGTATGCCGTGTCCAGTCATGCTCCTGCTTTCATCCTTGTGCTAAGTACGTGCGGAGTGTGCTATCTAAGAGTCCATGTACCAAAATAGCAGAGACTTTGGCCTCAACGTATTCCCAAAATAGGTACATTGGGCCCATAGTAACATAGTATATACTGTTTGGGTAGATGGACCCTCTTGTTAAGTCACGAAGGCTGTGGATGTTGGCGGCAGACGTTTTGCGGCAAATGCAGCTGCAGGGATTTGCCGCCCCACGCGCCTACAATGCGACTTAGTTCGAATTGGAACCCAGGGCCTGACCTAAGCTCGATAGCCTAGTAGTCGAGTAGGTAACCTTTAACCTTTTTTTGGGTAGTATAGTCCCTTTAGAATCTCTATATAACCAAAAAGGTTCACCTTTAGTTCCCCATGGTACCCGACAAGTAGGATAGATACCTAGACACACCCCCTACCCTCCGTAATGATGTTTTTTGCTTGCAGGAACCTGCCTGAAGGGTCCAAAGGACCCAATAATTAGGTACTTAGTTTTCGGATAGTAGTACCATTTGGGAGAGTATATGACTATTAGGTGCTCGGACCCCCTTAGGCTACTGCAGACCCCCAGAGCTCCCAACCCGACACCTTCGAACCCCAGAGCCCGAAACCTTACTTAAAGGATCATGGGACTAGTAATGGGGGTCCTTAAGGGGTCCCTTTAAGGGATCCATAGGGGTACTATAAGGGTTTAGGGTTGAGGGTCTACTTAAAGGATCATAGGACTTATAGTAATGGGAATTATAAGTAAGGCAACTACAGTTATAATTGCTTATAACCCCAATTAAGGTACTTATATCTTATATCCCTACTTACTAAGTCCCATGATCCTCCAAGTAAGCCCCGAGCATGAAGCCCTCGAGAAACAGCCCCAAAGGCCCACACGAAGCCTTATAAAACCCGAAACCCTCAGCCCTAAACCCCAAAAAGCCAAAAAAAAAAAAACCCAAAAAGCTTAAACCCTCAAAGCAACAAGCGCTAAAGCCGCAACAACAGAAAACACTAAAACCCTCAAACGCGCCGGTGTGGAGGAAGCCTTGGGGTGTGGCTTCCCCTGGGCGCAGGCGCTGCGGCTCTACGCGGAGAGCCTCACCTGGTTTGTAGGGTTTACCTCAAAGCCCTAAAGTAAAAGCCAGATAGTTGGAATATGATTATCCTATATAAACCCTTTATGGTAAATTATAGGGTATACTACCCTGAAACCATATTCCAACTTTCTGGAGTTCCCTTTAAACCCCTAAAGCCCTAAACATACCAACATCAGCTGTTTGTAGGGTCCCGATAAATTCCAGATTTGGGTTGAGTATAACACCCGCAAGAAGTCGGTTGTGGTAGCTCAAGGTACGGCTTCACTTGTAGGGTTTTAGGATGTTTTACGGTTGCCGGGTTTAGAGTTTACGGCTTTGTTTGTTTGGGTTAGGGCGAGGTTTAGGGTTTTTTGGGCTAAGGGGTTTAGGGCCTGGTAAAGGGGTTTAGGGCCTTAGGGTTTAGGACTTGCCCAGGGTTGAACTGGATTTTGAAAGGGCTTTCATGAGTTGTCGTGGCATCAATGCAGGCTTCATGGAGCCTTGTGCAGGACCTCATAAGCTTTTACAACCAAGGGTCTATTGGGAACTTAGCGTTTGGCGGTTCCTCATGATAATTGTACTACGATTCAACCCCAAAGCCTATTCGAATTATTCAGGCCGCGAAATTATTGGTGTTAGCTGGCGAGTTAGATTTATCTTTACTAGGAACACCCCTACGTCTCAAGGACTCCATACAGGGGCCTTATACGTATTACCTATACTATTTTGGGGATTCCTTAGCATAATTATAGCATAATGGGCCTAATTATTGACGACCGACAGTATATGCTGCCATACCGCGTACGTAGTTCAGAGCAACTGAAGGAAGGAAAGCCGGGGAGCAGACCTTAGGACCCTCAGAAACCTGCCTTGTTAGGGGTTCGTAGTATGATTGTCTTACATGAAACCTTAAAACGGTAGGATATTTTTGGTTAAGGTAAACCCTAAAACCCTAACTTTGAACACTGAGACTGTTATATACAAAACTGCGACCCTTCGGCCCTCAGGCACTCCTTGACTGCTGGCTTGAGGTTTTTGGTTTACCCTAACCCTCCAGGGACCTTATTATGGGGTCCTTAAGGGGTCTACGGCCCTAACTATGAGGTCCTTGGAGGGATAGGGTTATAGAGGGGTATAGATTCTCGAGCCCTTGCATGTTGAATCCTTAAGCCTTCAGCACCAAATCCTGAGCACCTGATGCGCCTACAGCCTGTCTCCTGAACGATGAGCAACCGCAGTCTGTTTACCCAGGCCCCAACATACAGCAAGACTTCTTAGACCTTAAACTGCAAAACTTGAACCTTTAACCCTTAACGCCCCAAGCTTGAAGCCCTAAGCCCTCAACTGTAAGCCCTAGACCCTAAACCTTAAGCCCTAAAGCCATAAGTTTTTTCAGCCCTTAAACAAAGGCCCTGTGAACAAAAATAACAGGCCTGCAGCCATGATGCCTTGAAGGTGGAAATTCAATGCCCTCAACTTGTGGTTGAGGGTTTGGACTGCAGGGATTAGGGTTTATGCTTTAGACGTTTGGGGTTTAGGGGTTAGGGTTTCAGACTCATAAGGTCCCTGCAAACCCTAGACCCTAAGCCTTAAACCCAAAACCTTAAGCCCCAATCCCTAAACCCTAAACCCCTCAACCCTCAACGGTTTAAGGCTTTAGGGTTGAAGCCGAGAGCCTGGCAGCGAGGATGGCAGCACGCCGAGCGCTCGGGACTGCCCGCACATTCGTTCAGCACCGAAGCTGCAGAGTTTAGGGTTCAGGTGTTTAGGGTCTAATTAGGGTTTGGGGGATTGCATTCCAGGATGCATGGTATGAGAGTTGGGGTCTAGGCTTCGTTTAGAGTTTAGGGGATTGCATGTGCGAAGATGTTCCTACACTATGTGTTCTCCAGACGGCATTGCAGGTTGAAGTCTTGCATGTTGAGTTGGTCTTTGTTGCTGCTGCTGCTGCTGCTCTTGCTGCTGCTGCAGCTGGTGGTGGTGGTGGTGGTGGTTCCGGCGGTTTTGGTGGTTCTGGTGGCGCTGGCGGTGGTGGGGGGCGGTGGGGGTGGTGATGGTGGTTTTCGTTTTGCTGCTGTGGGCTTCGGATGATGTCTATGTAAATGGATATATGCACACAACCGAAAACCCTGAATTGTTCTAGGGTTCAGGGTTACGAGTATAAGGTTTGAAGGTTTCCGAGGTTGGGGCGTCTTCAATTTAGGCATTTTTGCGCTCGTTTAGAACTTTTTTTTTGCTGACGCACTGACAGGGCTTTAGGGTTTAGGGTTAAGGGCTGCAGGATTCCACAGACGAAAATCTTGCGTCCGTCGATGCAAGATTTTGTGCATCCGCCGTAAGAGGCTTGAGTTGCACACCCGAGCCCTACCCAAATATAAGTCATGGCGAGCCAGATTAGGACCACACCCAAGCCACCATGACGCGATATTGCTCAAGACAGTACCAAGAACAAGATCATGGAACCGAGTAGGTAGAGTTTGTACAAATGCCGAGCAGTTAGGACGCTCAATCAGAATGATACAGCTGTGACTGTCGTTTCCGTTCAATCAATGAGCGAGCACCGAGGCTGATCCAAGTCTGCGGGGCAGCGAGCGAATGGCAGCAGGCGATGTGCTGAACCCGTGGAGAGCGTTCCCCAAGGATCCATATTGCAGTCCATGTTCCCAAATAGGCTAATATACCTTGGCCGTAAAGTACCTCCGTCTTAATTAGGGACCAGTTACTAGTTACTTTAATTTAAAATTAAGGCCAAAGTACCTGATTCGGGACTACTTTCAGGCCAGGTATATATATATATATACATATACACACATATATACATATATATATATATATATACGATTATAACTTTCATCCCACAGTCATTTGGGTCGTAGCCTGAGTGGGGTAAGATTACACCACCCTGAACTGAAACAGAGTTGGACGTGGCAACCCTCAAACCCCAAACACCCAGATCCACGGGCCGTAATAATTACCTATACTGTCGTGCAGGCTCCTTATTACAATTATAGTATAATGGGCCCCAGAACCCTATTCTGATTATTAAGGCCCCTATGTTAAGCAGCCTTCTCTGTGAACCCTAAATGAACCAGGCGCTAGGAGTCTTCGACGCGACTTGTCGAGCATTCTGTACCCATAATTGGGGTGATAGGTAGTTATATCGACAGTTAGCTTACTTATAACCTTAGCTACTAAGTCCCATGATCCTTTAAATCATCCCTACCCATAGGCTCCATAGTAGCCCCTTTTGGGGGATTACCTTATTGGATTCTAGATTCTAAATATGAACCGCAATAACGAACTACTCTGGAGCGTCTAGGTACAGCTACAATTGTAATTGTGGTGTTCAGCGCCCGTTCTTGTTGCATCTTAGTGCATGTCTTGACCAACGGTAGCAGTGCTTTCAGGATGTTGTTGGGGTTCGTATCATGATGCTGATCAGACGATGCAGATGACGACGGCGACGACGCTGAATACTCTGGTTGCGATTGTCCTGTTGATGTTGTTAGCATGCTGTTTATGCTGATGCTGAGAGTTATGCTGATGACGAAATTGACCACGGTGATGCTGCTGATGTTGATGTTGACGATCATGATGATGGTGATGGCACTGATGCTGACGACGCTGACGGTTATGGGAATGGTGTTCTTATGAGACAAGGACGGCGTTCAGTCGGCATGGTGTCACAAAGCAGCAATACAGTCGGCATGGTGTCACAAAGCAGCAATACAGTTAGTTAGTTGCCAGAAGCATCTACACGTCGGTACCACCGACAGAAAAACTTTGAACTCAAGATATAAACCCTAAACCCTCAACCCTAAACCCACTTGTGAACATAGAAACCCGAGGGTGGATGGACGATTTTTCTCTTCAACTGTAGTTTTGAGGGGCGTATAGGACAAAGACTAGCCCAGGAGATGTGCGAGCGTGGCCATTCCCAATCCACCATCGGGTGCAATGCCGCAACTCTTCTGCAACATTCATCCCTAAGCCCTAAGCCCTAAACCCAAAAACAACCCGAACCCTCTTCTCCAGTACCCAGCCGTTGAACTTTTGCGTGGGCTCGGAGAAGTCCGTCCGATTCTGAATTTAGCATCGTATGTGAGGGTGTTCCTGTAAGGGATCCGAAGAGGTTCCCTTCAAGGGTTCTATAAACAGGAACCCTACCGTATTCTGATTCTTAAGGCCCCTACATGGGTAGTTCTCTAAGATGGGGTCCCTCGTAGGTCCCCAAATCACGGCGGAATCGTTATTCAAAAATGGACCCCAAAGGGGACCCGACAAAGAACTACCCATTTGCCTGGTCTCTCCAAGTCCTTCCATGTTTCAGGTGATGACTGCATGTAAGATGGGGCGGCAGTGGCAACGGGCATTACATTTCTACGAGCAGATGCACAGGCTGCCGGCGGGGCTTCACTTGGATCATGCCACTTAGTCAGTAGGGTTGTAAGTACCTTAATTGCGGTCATAAGTACCTTAATTGCGGTTATAAGTACCTTAATTGCGGTTATAAGTAGTTATAACTGTAGCTACTTTACTTATAACCCCAATCCCATGACCCTTAAACCTTAAAACTTAAAACATTACAGACCTTCTATAGAACCCTGTAAGGATTCCTTTTAACTTACTAAGTCCCGTGATCCTTTAAGCAGGGTTTCGGGATACCCACAGGTTGAAAGCCTATAGTCGGGTCCGAAGAATCCGAAAACAGAAGGGCTTCATATGTTTGGGTCGCTAGACCCCCAAACCCGACACCGCAAACCCTAAACTAAGGGACCTGGCAAGAACTAAATATTTTGGTGAAATTTCTCAACAAGCTCCCATGAAGCAGGTTGCAGAAACCCTTCGTTGCGACATCCTGATGTTTTTGTGGTGTGGGCCCAGGGTTCGCGATCGAAGCCCGATTTAGGAGCCTTGTTTTCCGTAGAGGCTTGATGACGAATGTCATACAGACATACGTACATGTGTGTATGTGTATATATATATATATATATGTGTGTGTGTGTGTAGAGTATAGAGTGTATGCACATATGCGTAAATGAGTGTGTGTGTGTGTGTTTTCCTTCATAATTGTGTTCATCCTATGTGTATGTGTATATGTACATAATTTCATATTGTTTAGTTAATTACGGTTGCATTCAGGTTTATGTTTACTCATATGCTTACGTTCGAATTAAATAGGGCAGCAAAACCCCGTATTGTTCTTATTTCTAAGGCTCCTGTACAGAATTCCGACTGGCTATGAGTAGCCTCATTCTCCGGACTCTGTGTGAGGAGGCTTTAGGCATTTGGAGGGTTGAGGTGTAGACCCGGAAGATTTTCAACCATGCCCAAGACCCTAAACCCTAAACCACTAACCCCAAATCTCTGCATGACAAGTCTAGAGCTGAGGTTGTGAGGTTCATTAAATGCTTGCAGGGCGTTCGGGCATGGGCTTCGGATTTCGGGACACACATGACTTTGAACCCTCCTGTGCTCTAAACCCTTATATCCCAATATCCTTAAACCCAGATATTGTCTGCACTTTTCTAACAGGTCCATGGTCTTAGCGGACGTGGTCACGTGCTCTGCTTGCATCAGTGCGCTGGAGACTTGTCCGGAATGGAGCCTAAGCGCGTCAGGGTTATATCATGGGTTTAAAGCAGTTATATGGGAGTTTCCGATAATCAGGGGTACCTTGTTTTGGGGCCCTTAATATAAGGATCCTACTATTTAGGGTACTGTATTAGGGTCCCCTATTTTCGGAAACTCCCATATCATACAGTTGTTTCTATAGGACTATTGGGAGTTTTGTAAGGATTTCAGGGGACCTACCGGAAAAAAAAAGGACTTCGTCTACAGACGCAGACCGTAAGGAGTAGGATTCTTCGCATTATTCGAAGCTCCTGTCAACAAGGCAATGTTGAGAAAGCCCCCCTCCCAGACCTATGATCGGTACCCGAAGACTGCCTTAGAAGACATATCGCCAAGCCCTGTTATCACCATGGTTTAGGACCTTTCAGGGATGCAGGTAGGTAGGATTAAGGATCCCTCGTTTAAGGACACTTCGTCGAGACGCCTGAGTAATTCCCAATGCTATTCCTTAGGGTCCCCAAACGCAGTATGTCCGTCATTATTCCGGCCCCGATATTGCCTTCATCCCACCTTTGCAGTCTCTCCGGAAACTGTTTTTGGATTTCCGCCACCAAACCCTCAGCCCTAAACCCTTCACCCGAAACCCTAAAGGCCCTAAACCACCTTTGCAGCCCTTCGACAGGACTTTAGACGCGAAGCCCGAACCCTAAATCCCAAATCCTAGACCCTAAAATCCCAAATCCTAAACCCCAGAATCCCAAATCCTAAATCCTAAAATCCCAAATCCTAAATCCTAAACCCTAAACCTGCATCCCACCTTTGGAGCCCTTCGAAAGGACAGGGGCAGTCAGTGGGAGCGCGCTTGCCAACTCCTTCTGTCGATGCTGACCTTTGGGCCGGAGCCGAGACTCGGCTAACTTACAGTAGAAGCCCAAAAGTTGGAAACCCCAGTAGCCTCAATCCTGAAGAGTATAGGGAATCCCAGCACTATTTGGCCTTAATCCGGTTTCCAATTTTATGGAGTTTTCTGTAAACCCCTAAACCCTATAGATACCTTATGGATCCCTTTAAAGGAACCCCCATAGATCCCCTTAAAAGCCTTAAGAAACCCCTAAACCCCTCGGTTTCCAATTTTATGGAGTTTACTGTCGGGGTCGAGGCGATCTGGGGCCTAGGTTTTTGGGCTTCTGAGGGACCTAAAGGGGTTCTACAAGGGTTCAGTGTTACTTTAAGGGTTTAGGGGGTTTTGGGGGTTTAGGGGATTTTGGGGGTTTAAGGGGTTTAAGGGGTTTAGGGGGTTTAGGGGATTTTAGGGGTTTAGGGGGTTCTGGGGGTTTTAGGGGTTTAGGGGATTTTAGGGGTTTCAGGGGGTTTAGGGGGTTTCGGGGTTTGGGGGGTCTAGGGGGTTTAGGGGGTTTCGGGGTTTAGGGGTTTAGGGGGTTTAGGGGTTCAGGGTTTAGGGAGGCGGTCTAGGGCCTAGGATTTGGGATTCCAAGGGACCTAGCTTTCTACAAGGGTTCAGTGTTCCTTTTACAGGATCTCTTCGCAAGGGTTCTACAAGGGTTTGGGTCCGCATAGAGTTGATTTTGGGGCTTCGGTTTTTTGCGTTTAAGGGTGTAAGCTTCTACATGGTTGGGCTTAGGGGTTTAGAGTTTGCGGGTTTTGGATTGGGGTCGGCTTCTCAAGGTTTGAGGTCGTTGGGTTTAGATACTGTAGCCAGTAGCCGATGGGATAACTTTACACTTTTGGCCTTGTATATTCGGGATATGTGCGAAAGTTTGCACTTTTGGAGCCCGGTTCTCGAGGAGGAGGAAGAGAGGTTTGGTCCGCTGTGCTTCATAAGCTGGGTTTTATCGGCCGAGAGGCAGCAGCTGTACAAAGAGAGGTCGGTTTAGGGGTTCAGGGTTGCTGTGACGGTTAGTCTTAGTGTTCTTGCTGCACTGTCTCGGACGAGTACCATGGAACGGTGCCGCCAGCTTGGTCCGGGCACCCCTGTCGATGGTAGGATGTGATTATCCGTTGTTGCTAATCTCGTTTTCGCACTGATCATGGATATATCAATATCGGCATCTACAAGCGTTCCGAAAACTGGTCAGCCGAAATACTATAGGGGCCCAAATAACTACCAGTACCATTTTGGGGGCTCCTTATTACAATTATGGCATAATGGGCCCCCAAGATCCTATTCTGATGGTTCAGGCTTCTACATTACGGTACCCCTATAGATCCCTTATAGTAGCCCGTATAGCCCCCTTTAAAAAGGAACCTGATTATTAAGGCCCCTATGTTAATAGTTGCTCATATTTGCTACGACGACTTTCCGATGTTTAGGGATCTTTTGGTTTGAGAAACCGCCGGAAGCCATATGGGCGGTTGTCAAAATCAGCGTCCCTTTTTGGGTCCCTAATATAGTAAGGCACCTAATGTTAGGGTACCCAAAAAAGGGACCATAATCTTGACAACCACCCATATCATGTACAAGTCCGCTTTAAGGTTTAGGGTTGGACTTGTACCCGTCCTGCATCGCACTCAGAAGCTGAGCTTTGGATGTTTCTGGATGCCGCCCCCACCACACAGAGCACGAGCCGCAAGAAGCATGGATTTATAGCAGTATGGTGGAATCCGCCGCAAGACCTGCTTCCAAGCTTTGGGGGCTGAGTAGGAGACCCCGAGTGCGAGGATCACAGATTATCCCAACGCCAGCTACGGTACTTCTGAGCCTCAGTAACGATAACAATAATGATAGTTACTATGATTCAGAATGCTTAGGGTTTCAGAATCCTTAGCGTTTCGGGACTCTGGTTTAGGGTTGAGGCAACCCTAAAGCCTGAACCGTCCTAAAGAAGAAACCCAGCTGCACAGGAATGTCTAGGGTTAAGGTTTACCCTATCCCTCCAAGGACCTCATAGTTAGGGCCGTAGACCCCTTAAGGACCCCATAATAAGGTCCCTGGAGGGTTAGGGTTTGGGGTTTTTGGGTTTAGCCCAGCTGCACAGGAATTTGGTGTCCTTCAACGCCTGCATCTTGCCTGCAGTGCGAATTCCTGAAAGCGGACACCCCACAAGCTTAGCAGTGGAAGAAATAAGCTCTCGCCGCCGGACACTCTTCTGGGGTAGTATCAACATAACCACAACTCTGTATTCTATATCTATATATATATATAGCATAGATTCCGATAAGCTTTAGATTCCCTGGGAACTGGACAAGCCAATAAGCCCAAAGACTTGGATCGGGGCCAGAGCTCTCTGTGGCGCCGCGACCTAGTCATTGGCGCAGTTCTCTGCTTACCCTAACCCCAAGGGTCCAAAGGACCCAATAATTATGTACTCGGATTTAGGATAGTAGTTATGTAGGTTAGGATTTGGGAGAGTATATGATTATTGGGTACTTGGACCCTTGGGGTAAGGCACAAAATATCCCAAAAGCCTTATATAGTATGGTCTTTGGGCCCAAAAGGCTTGAAATATGAGTGCTTAGAGCCTGAGGATTAGGGTTCTGGATTTAGGTGTCTGGCCGTGATGGCTGGCCCCGAACCCTTCAAATCTTTGCACTACAAAACGGGCATGTGGGGTGCACCCAAAGAGGAACTAGAGCGTACCCAAAGAGGAACTAGAGTGTACTTGAAGGGGGGTTTCGGGCTGGTGGTTCTAAACCCTAAACCCTAAAGAACTCCAGGTTGAAGGTTGATTTAGCTTCATCACATTAAACCTTCCAAACCTTGAACCCTAAACCCTAAACCCTCACCCACCTACGTTGGGATTTGTGCGGAAGCCCGGGGTCCACTGCAACCCAAGCTTTCAATTCAAACCCCTTCACTTGAACCCTAAATGAGGACCCCCCTGATTCTCCGATCCTAAATCTAAGTATGAACCCTACGAAGGAACTACTTTGGGGCCTTAGGGTAGGCCCTATGCCCGTAAACCCCTAAGGTCGAAACCTTGGGACCTAAAATTAGGAATTCTTTTTTTTAAAAAAAAAATTAAAAAAAATCGGAATTCCCTGTAGGCCATCTCAACCACCTTAGAATGCCTGAGCCTTAAGGCTTGTGCTCAAGCGTTTTGGGTTTGGGGTCGGGGGCTTGGGGTCGAGGGTTGAGGGAGGGTTTAGGGTTTAGGGTTTAGGGGTTTAGGGGTTTAGGGTTCAAGACTTCCCAAGTCTGAGAGGCATCAGCTCTTGCAGTGCGGCGCAGTGGCAGGTGGGGGCATGTCAAAATGACTCCATCGCCAACGATTCATGTCCCTAAGTTTACCGTAAAGGGTGTTGGAGTTTCAATTTTCAATCGCTACTTGGAGTAAGACTGATATTACGGATTGGTAGCCAGGGTCCAGATAACGATGAGAATTTCAACAGAATCCAGAATCCTTCCAATGTTTAAGGGGGGAGGCAAGTGAGTGTTAAAATATTATAGCTGCTAGTATCAAACTTGTTGGTAGTTGCCCTCGGCGTCCTCGTCGTAACAGGATGTCCTAAGCCAAAGAGCCTAAGACCCGTTGATTACGTCACAACACATGCCTCAAAACCATATTTAGGGATGCCTGCATGATTGGTTCGAGTGCTGCTCCTTCTCTGAGATAGCAAGAGGCAGAAGTTCGAACTGTTAGGCCTCATATATCCTAAACCCTAGACTCCGAAATCCTGAATCCTAAACCTTAAACCGTAAACCCTAAACCCTAAACCCTAAACCCCCCCAAAAAAACCTTAAACCGTGGACTTATATACTTGGTCTCTAGAAAAAAGGCCCGACCATGGAAGAGGAGAGTAGCGGTTCTGGAGCGACTTCAGGGCTCAGGCTCTGGGAGCTTATCTATCTGTCCATCTATCTATACATATACATATATATATATACATATGTAATATACATATATATATATACACATATATATATAATACATATATGTATATATCTTACCCGAACTACAAACATTCCCTACAACGTGAATCTTACTGCATCCTGATACTTTAGTGCCCGTCGGAATTACTCTGTACTTTTATGATGATAAATCACCAACGGGTTATTCCAATTTGTCTTGTTGTGGTTCAAGGAGCACACAAGAATAAAGGCGTAAATGCCACTCCATACTTGGACCCGGCGGATCTTACTCATATAAGCTGATAGCTTCTGTAATATATATTGGCCATATAGCACAGCACGTCGGTTTCGTACCCCTCCCCAACTCTTAACCACTGATTATAGTTTCTTCAAAGTACGGGGTGTAGATTGGTGAACCCTACTACTTGGAGGATCATGGGACAGAGTAAGTAAGGTTAGAAGTGCCGTAATTGGGGTTATAAGTAATTATGGGTACATTTACTGTGTCTGTAACCCTAGTTACTAAGTCCCATGATCCTTTAAGTCGACCCTAAATCCTACACCCTTATACCCCTATAGATCCCTTAAAGGGACCCCTTAAGGACCCCAATTACTTTGTCCCATGATCCTTTATGTAGAGACCTTCGACTGAAGCCCCAAACTACTATGGGGGGGATCCTCAAGTCCTTAAGGGGTCCCTTTAAGGGATCTATAGGGGTGCTATAAATGTTTAGGGTTTAGGGTCTACTTAAAGGATCATGGGACATAGTAGCTGGGGTTATCGATTTGGGTTTAGGGTTTAGGGTTTTGGGTTTTGGTTTCCGATTTGGGTGGTGGTTGTCAAAATTATGGTCCCTTTTTCATATAATACGGCACCTAATATTTAGCCAAGACGGGGACATAATTTTGACAACTACCCATCTAGGTTGACGGGTTCGTACAAGTAGGGCTTGATCTCTAATCAAATGTATGGCTTGTTCTGCTTGCTCCTCCAAGCTCCGCAACACTGCTCGAGCTGGTCGGTAGGCTGGAGCTTGAGATTCTGAGTCGGAAATTAAACATGCTTCCCTAAACTTTTAAAACCCATAAACCCTACACTTGACTGTGCTTTCGGCGATGCAAGCTTGGATCAGGGAAGCTGATCCCCACACTGTACTGATTGCCCTTGTTTTGCTAAGCAGTCGAGCGCACCAACGACAAGTCCGACACCTCTAGCGTAGGGGTCTGACTAACAAGTACCACTACAAGTCCCCTACTTAGTCCCTCTAGGATATATAACTGAACCGTAAGATTTCCATTGCCATTTTTTGAAAATCTTTCGCATCTATACTTTTGAATGCAGCCCCGGTCGTCGGATTGATTAGAAGCGTGGGCCTCCATCATGTGGGAGTTTCCGAAAATTAGGAGTACCTTATTTTAGGGTCTGTATAATAAGGATGCTACTATTTAGGGTGCTATATTAGGGTCCCCTACTTTCGGAAAGTCCCATGTCGCTGACGCTTGAGGTGGGCCTCATTAGTGGCAGGACTGTGTCACTTCAGACACACGGGGACGAATCCGTGGAATCACTGAGAGTGCGTGCACAGACAGCCCTGGGAACTGGCAAAGGCCGACTCCTGGACTCCGCTGGAAACGCTCTTGATGGAGGAGCACCGCTAAAGAAGGCCAGGTTGCGGCATGCGGAGCCGCTGACGCTGCACGTTCGACGAGTCGATATATGCTGCGGAAAGTATGCCTTTGCTGCGATCCAGGGGGATGGCTCCGTCGTGACATGGGGTGATGCCGACTCCGGTGGTGACAGCAGTGCCGTGCGAGATCAGCTGAAGAATGTGCAGCAGATTCAAGTAACCGATGGTGCCTTCGCTGCGATCCTTGCTGATGGCTCCGTCGTGACATGGGGTGATGCCAGCAACGGTGGTAACAGCAGAGCTGTGCGAGAACAGCTGAAGAATGTGCAGCAGATTCAAGCAACCGATGTTGCCTTTGCCGCGATCCTGGGGGATGGCTCTGTCGTGACATGGGGTGATGCCAGCAACGGTGGTAAGAGCAGAGGCGTGCGAGAACAGCTGAATAATGTGCAGCAGATTCAAGCAACTCGTCGTGCCTTCGCTGCGATCATTGCTGATGGCTCCGTCGTGACATGGGGTGATGCCAGCAACGGTGGTGACAGCAGAGCGGTGCGAGATCAGCTGAAGAATGTGCAGCAGATTCAAGCAACCCTTTTTGCCTTTGCCGCGATCCTGGGGGATGGCTCTGTCGTGACATGGGGTTACGCCGACTCCGGTGGTGACAGCAGAGCGGTGCGAGATCAGCTGAAGAATGTGCAGCAGATTCAAGCAACCCTTTTTGCCTTTGCCGCGATCCTGGGGGATGGCTCTGTCGTGACATGGGGTTACGCCGACTCCGGTGGTGACAGCAGAGCGGTGCGAGATCAGCTGAAGAATGTGCAGCAGATTCAAGCAACCGCTGGTGCCTTTGCCGCGATCCTGGGGGATGGCTCCGTCGTGACATGGGGTGATGCCAACTCCGGTGGTGACAGCAGTGCTGTGCGAGGTGAGTTCAAAAATGTGCAGCAGATTCAAGCAACCGATTTTGCCTTTGCCGCGATCCTGGGGGATGGCTCTGTCGTGACATGGGGTTACGCCGACTTCGGTGGTGACAGCAGAGCGGTGCGAGATCAGCTGAAGAATGTGCAGCAGATTCAAGCAACCCTTTTTGCCTTTGCCGCGATCCTGGGGGATGGCTCTGTCGTGACATGGGGTTACGCCGACTCCGGTGGTGACAGCAGAGCTGTGCGAGATCAGCTGAAGAATGTGCAGCAGATTCAAGCAACCGCTGGTGCCTTCGCTGGTGCCTTTGCCGCGATCCTGGGGGATGGCTCCGTCGTGACATGGGGTGATGCCGACTCCGGTGGTGACAGCAATGCTGTGCGAGATCAGCTGAGTCGCAGCTAGACAAAAATGTCACCAAGCAAGACTCCTGTAAGCCTTACCAGCTCCCCTTCAAGAACTCTGCGGGATAGCTTGCAAGCCCTTCACGACCTTTTTGCAAGCCCACGACTCTATGAAGCCACATAGACCTCATGTAAAACCCTGAACCACAATATGGACACCTAAATAATTGGTTACCAATCTTATTCCTTATGGGCTCCGTACATTCGATGCATAATATACCCAAGAACACATTCGATTTATTGAGTCCCCTATGTGCAACCATTGAGTCGGCTAGGGGCAGACGGGAGTCTCAGAAAATAGTGCATTTCACTGTGTATTCAGCAGCCCAATGAAACCCCTCACAAGCCATACATGGAAGACCTTAAAACAAAGCCTATAAACCACTCAACAAGACATCCCTGTCAAGATTGTATCGGAGCAGGGCGAACGAGAAATTCCTTCACTTAACGGGTGAACCATGCGCCCTGAGACATGCCTGCAGTTTCTTCTAGTCCCCTTGTTGTGTTAACCAGTTTGATAGTTTATCCTATACATTAAAGCTGTTATATATTGTAACCCGAAGTCAGGAACTACAAACGATAATCTTAGGGTTAAATAGCGTTAATTTTTTAATTTTTCTGGTTGTTGTTTTTTGATGGATCTTATGTTGTTGATCTGTTTGTTTCTGCTGCTGCGCTGCTGGCATGGTGGTGATCGAGATGTTGTGACTGTCGTGGTCGTCGTCGTTGTCGTCAGGGGTCTTCGGGCTTCAGGGTTTATCCAGGTTTTGGGCTTTAAGTGACTGAGGGTTCAAGGGTTTTGGGCTTTGGGGCTTCAGGGCATTAGGGCATTACCACAACTTTAGGATTTAGTATAGAGGAGTTTGACGTTGTTCTAGCTTGGCTTAAAGGCTTAGCAACCCGAAACTTTTGGGCCCAGTAGCCCCACTCTAACCCTGAGCCCTGAAGCCTCGCCCGAGTCGCCCGAGTACCCCCTGCCCCTCCCCCTCTCCGCCCCATGGACTTCGGCGACAACAGACGAGGCACAATGCCGGGGGCCGAGGTGGAGTTCAGGATTTCGGTATGGGTTTTGGAAATGAACTGAATGTAATATATGTATATTTGAGCTATGACCCTAAACCCTAAGCCTTAAACCCCTTTACATATAATATGTATATTTTTTTATATATATGTATATATAATTATATATATATATATAGGGGTTCACTTAAGATTCCTTGGGTGGCAAGGTTGTGGGATTCCGGGATCATAGGGCTTCAGGAACTTGAGGGTTTATAAAGGTTTTAGGCTTTATTAAGGGTTCAAGGTTTTTGGGCTTTGGGGCTTCAGGGCTTATTAGGACGTAGGGTTTATTAAATATAACCTATATACATATATATATATATATGTATATATATCTATATAATATGTTTATACTAATGACAATATTGAG